AAACATGAGCTGTTGAGAAATCCCTCAGTGTATCACCACACTCCACTGGCTCCATACGTGTGTACCCCACCTCCTCACCTGCATCTGCAGATTCCCTCTTGCTCCAGGCTGGGAAGACCAATTGCTTAACCTGGGCCTGGGGCAGTCTGGAACCAAGGGGCCCTGTAGGGCTCTGCTCAATGGTCAAAAGGTCAGGCAAAAATGTAGATCACACAGGAGGGAGGAAAGGGTCAGAAAATCACTGACTCTCAGGTCCCATGGCTGCCATAGCTGTTAATCACCAAAGGAGGGGTCAGGGTTGAAGCTGATGGTATCTACTCAATAGGATATTGATACCAAGCAACAACATCCTCCTTTCCCAAGCCCTTCAGCTTGCAGAACGGTGCTGCGTGCTCACAGATCAAGCTCAGCCAAAGCAAAACCACATGAATCTGAGAGCAGTCTTCAGCATTCCTCTGGTGTCCAAGGATTCTCAAGGTAAGGAAACACTGGTCAGGGACCATTTCTCGATTAGCCTACTATCTACAACAGTATAAGAAATTGTAGTTGGTCTTCCAATATAAGGAAGACAAGGACATACTGGAGAGTCCAGCAATGGAGCACAAGGATGATTAAGGGACTGGAGCATCCGTCATATGAAGAAAGGCTGAAAGAACTGGGACCATTTAGCATCAAGACGAGAGGGATGTTATCAATGTGAATAAAAACCTGTGGGCAACAGTAAGAAAAGCATAGATTGAATGTTCTCTGTGATATCCAGTGAAAGGATGAGATGCAATGGCCACAAATTAAAACACAGAAAATCCCTTTACAGGGACACAAATACCTTTAAAGGAAACAACCAAAAAAAACTGTGAGGGTAAACACTGGAATACATTGTCCAGAACAGTTGTGGTGTCCACCCTTGCACACATTCAAAACTTGACAGACATAGTCAGGCAAGCCAGACTAGCTGATCTCCAAAGGTCCCTTCCAGTCCAGTGATTCTGTGAATAAGACCACAGCAGCTTCCTCAACTGCCCCCAACCAGCCTAGCCTCAGGGAATCCCACCATGAAGCCAACAGAGACCCTTTGCTCTGTGCTTTTGATAGYCTTTCTGTTGATGCTACCACTTTTGCTCCATGACAGTGGTATCCTCTCCAGAGCTCAGAGAGACAGGCTGTTTCTGGTTTGTCCTTACCAAAAGCTCCTCCATTCCTCCTCTAGCTCTCACTGCTTCTATCACTGACTTGAGCAGGAACCTCCAGCCGTCACTCTTTCCCTCTAATCTTCCCCTGTGGGCTTGCAGCAGCCACAAGAGCAAGAAACAAAGGAGACCAAATGCCTTTTTCTCTTTACCTCTCTGTGTCTCTCTTGTCCTACATTTACCACATATTTGGTCCTTTCCTTGATCTTCTGTGAGGAATGAATTGAAAACACATTTTTGCTAGCAAAAGAACACAGGAGGCAGCAAAGGCAACAATCCCTCAAGAACACCCATCTCTGGCATGGGCTTTGTTTCCTGCAAGTCACCTTCACGGTTTTCTCAGAGCTTCCCAACTCTACATTTGCCATTACAGCCTGTTGAGGTCACCCAGCAGTCATGCAATACCTAGTTTTCTTTGCAAGAGCCAAGAGCTATCACACAGTGAGGGCATACAAGGCAGCAGAGCCTGCCCTGTCCTYAGCTCCTGGAGAAGCCAGCTGAAGCTGTGATGGAGTCTGGATGATCCATGCTGGCAGCTCCACAGCTGGACATGCCCGTGAGAAGAATCACGTGCTGTTGGCACAGCAGGCTCTTTCCAAGTCAACAACAGCATCAGGAACAATCACTCCTCCTCTTCTGTCAGGAACCAGCATGCCACAGACTGGCCACTCAACCACTGCTCAAGGAAGGCTGGTGAGAGATTCCGCTCTTTGCTGTTCTTCMCACTTCTCATTTCCCTCTTTCAGCCCAGGACCAAACTCAGCACAGACATTCTAACCAGTGCTGTCAGAGGAGATCCGAGTGCTGGAAAATGTGAAACCCTATGAATGAGATTGTCCAGCCTTCCTGTCTAAACATGGTGCATGGCAGTCACTAAGGCTCCAGAAGAAGGTCACCTCCCTCTGCTATCTCCCAGCCATGTGACAGACTTTGCTGAGAGAAGAAAGGGTGCATGGACGTCAAATGCCTGCCAGCCCTGGCATGTCTCGGGCAATGCCATGAGCCTGTTCAGTCACTGCTGTGGCAGAAAATGCAGACAGCTCTCCTTGAGGCTCCAGTGAGAACAAAAGTACTTGCTGGAGTAAACTGGGTACAGGGAGACAACACCTTCTTCTTTAAACAACAATGTGGTTAAGTTCAGCTGAAGACAAAGCACTGAACCTTACTGAGAGCTGCAGGCCAGGGCCACTCAAAGCCTATGCAAGGTTGGTACAGAAAGGAGAATCATGTTTATGAACATGAACTGTGACCACCTCCTTGACATCAGCTCCAATATCAGTGTGGCTGGGCAGGGACTCCAGTGAGAGAACAGAGAAGGAGAGTATTTCTATTGTGATGTCTTTCAGTTAGATCAGGTCCCTGAGCAAGCTTCTTACCTCCACACAGGGGATAAGCTACCTATAGAGAAGGGAAACACTACCTGAATAGAGCCATGAGACAGACACACACAGAGAGCTTTCTTCTCACACATCTACTGTGATGTGTGCCAAGTACCTGCGATCTCGTGCATTTGGTTAATTAGCTCTCATTTGACATAATTTTTAACTCCAGCTCATAGTCCTTATGAGRTACCATCTCTGGAGAAAAGGAAAACATGCCAGAGTGAATACACTTAGCCCTTGACATTTTTCTTGCCTTCTTTCTGAAGGTTTGCCCAAGGGAAAGGAGGCTGGGCCGCATGGACAACTGGTCTCCATCAAAGCTGTCAGTGGTACATGAGCGAAGGGTAAGAAGGACATTTCTCTGCAGCTGTGCACACTGATCCAAGCACGGTGAAACTTGCTCAGACTTAAATGGGCAAAGAAGGGTTTCCAAGAAGATAACAGGAAAGTTACAGTATTTTGAAGGAATTCCCCACTGCCTTTGTTGAGCAGTGTTTTTCACATCTCATGATACATTTTTCCTCAGACAATTCCAAAATTACTAAATGTGTAAACATTTAGCAATTTGTGTAACCATAAATATTCATGTATCTCAAAAAATGATCTTACAGGTGGCAAAACTGACAAACAATAGGACTCCAATGAAAACTAACAAAGAAATCCCAAGTGTATCAGTGGCATGGGAAAATCCCTAGCCTCACTCTTGTAGCACTACATGGGTAACTCTGCTTCTACTTACTTGTCTTTCCAGGTAATAATAAGAAACTGGAAGTCAATGGAAACATTATAGATTTTTTAATTTATTTGGACAAGAGAAATGAAAAGGCAGTGCCAGATCTGTGRGCAGAATGTCCTCTTGCACAGAATCTTTTGCTCACAGAACACTGCTCTATATGYAGCTGGCGGGCAGGTTTTGCTCAGTACTCTGCTTCCTGCCTCTCTGTATTCCCTGGAGGGTGTGCATGGAAAACCTGGGATGGGCATTGCCTGCCTTGCATATAAGCAAAGCAGGCTGGCCAATTCCCCTTAGGAACCTAGAGGACAAACAGAGGCTGACCCAAGAAATGTGCTGCTAATGGGTTCAGCCCAGTCACCGCATGGAGATGCTCTCGGAGATCACTGCCATGTGCACATCCTTGGTCAAGTTATAAACAGGGCATGGCCAGTGAGGAAAGGACTGATGGAGTCATGGCACGTTCTTGCAAGTTCTTGCTCTGGTGCACAAGATGCTTCAGAATCCACAGGCAGAGATTATGAAGGCATTCTTCATGGACATATCTTTTACATTCACATTGGGTCTTTTCTCCATGGACAGAAATCAGTAAACACAGTCAGGCACAAGCAGACCTGAGGTGGGAATCCAGCWGTCACCCCAGCCATCAGGGCCCTGAAAATGCCTGAAGCTGACAGAACTTCTCAGAATCCAGACAGAAAGTCCATGGCCTTTGGATCTGTGCAACCAGTGTTAAGCCTGCTGGGGCTCCCTGAGCCATGCCACAGGTATGGCAGTGAGGTATCTGCAGCTAGCTGGGGAACTKCTTCAACAGAGGGGGAGAAGAGAATAAGGCTCCATGGAGAACTTACAGAATCCTCTGGTACCTACAGGTACTGGAGAGGGATTTTGGACAGGGGCGTGGAATGACAGAGCAAGGAGGAATGGCTTCAAGCAGAAGGGCAGATTTAGACTAGATATTAGGAAGAAATTTTCCTGTGCAAGGGTGGTGAAACCATGGTTTCTCCATCTCTAGAAGTGTTCAAGGTCAGGCTGGATGAGACTTGGAGCAACCTGGTCTAGTGGAAGGTGTCCCTGCCCAAGGCAGAGTGGGTGTAATGGATGATCTTTAAGGTCCCTTCCAACCCAAACCATGCTATGATTCCATGATTCTATACCTTAATTGCCTCTTCCACAACATAAAGCCATGGTRTGTTCAGTGAAAGGAAATGAGAGGGACTGGGAGAGGGTGAGGGAGAGAGGATGGAGCAGAACTTGCCCAGCATCTGGTTCTCGTGAGTGACTGACAGCGGGTGCATCACCGCAGCCACTGACTTCTGCTGCTATTTGTGAAAAATAGTGAATTGTGCGATTGTGAAAAACCAAGCGATTGTGAAAAAACCAAGCATCCAGAGCAGTCCGCAGCTCGTCACCCACCTGAGCTCTGCCGCTCCATGGTTACAAGTCCCAAAGGCTCGGGCTGGAGCGCGGCCGGGCAAGCGGCTCCTTCTCCGAGTGCCGCAGATTGTTACAGCACCCATGGTACTCGGGGTGCCYGCCCGGGGCAGGGGTACAGCGATGCCAAGGGGGTCCCCACAGCAGAGCGGGGTGTGCCCTCCGTGCGCCCCCGCACCCCGTGAGGGACACCCCGGCCCGGCCACCTCCCGCCCCCGCTCGGCGCGGCCCCGGCCCCGGCCCCGGCCCCGATCTCGGTCCTACCTCCAGGAGCTGGACGTAGCTGGCCGGGAACCAGCCGCGCAGCCCGTCCTCCTTCTGCCCTTCCCACCAACCGCCGTCTGGCACCTGCAGCACCGTGATCAGCTCTCCCGCGGCGAAGCGCAGCCCCTGCTGGTGCCGCTCCCCGGAGAAGGGGTACAGCGCCTGGCAGCGGGTCCCCGACATCCCTCCTGGACGCGCCCGCAGCCGCCGCCGCTCCGCGCCCGCCCCGCTGGGCTCCGGGGGCCCCGCTCCGCCCCAGGGCCGCGGCGGGTACGGCAGCGGAGCGAGCCCGGCGCCGGGCGCCCACGGGCACCGCCGGCTCGGGTGGGGCGGGAGAGGCGGGACGGGAGGGCCGGGGGAGGAGGAGGGGTGGGAGGCGGGGGAGAAAGGGAGAGGGGGCGGCACCGGGGGGAGGAGAGGCCGTGCGGGTGCGCAGAGCGCTCGGGGTGTGTGTGTGTGTGACGCTCGGGTCGGCGGGACAGCGAGAGGCACCGTGTGTGACCCTGAGAGTCAGGGCGGGGGACACCGTGTGTCGAGTGCACGAGAAACACCGCGTGTGACAGACGCTGTTCCGAGGAGACGCTCTGTGTGCTCGACACCCCTCTGTGTGTCTGCTTGTAGGACACACCGTGTGTGGGGGACAGGCGCTGTGCCACCGTGGGTGCACCGTGTTCGTGTATGGCCACGTGTAGGTCTGCGAGAGGCAGCCGCGGATATGAGAGTCACCGAATTTGTGACAACGGGACACCCGCGAGTGTCCGTGAACGGTGCCAGGTGAGACAGAGTGTGTCTGAAGCATGCGAGACCCTGTGTGTTTGTCACCKATGTGTGTGTGTGTGCAACACCTGTGTGTCTGTGAGATGATGTGTGAAGCACCGTGCATGTCTAAAGCGTACATGTATGATCCTCTGTGTCTCCGACATTGTGCCTGCGTTTGGAGAGACTCATGGCTGTGTGAGTGTTAGGCATCTCTCATGTCTGGGACACGGGGTGTGGATTTGCTACTCAGAGCCAAAGGTGTGAAATCCATTTTGCTTGAAAGACATTGTGAGATGCATAAGCACGTATGAACTGTGTGTGTGACACATSCTCAGGTGCATGTATCTCTGCAACACTTGTCTGAGTGCACAACCTGCTCCATGTGTGTGTCTCACTGTAGCACGTGTGACACATCTTTGTGTGGCACTCCAGTCTGTGACATCTCTTGTGTATGTGAGAGATGCACTGTCGGTGCAACACTCTCATCTGGGTGACATTTGTACATGTGTGTGTARTCACCATCCTGTGTGTGTTTTGTTTATGAGTACCTGCTTTGTGCACAGCCTTCTCTGGGTGTTCCTGTCTGCCTCACTCTGCAGCAGGTATATGGCTTGTGTGTTTGTCAGGGTAAGTCACATCTGTCTGTGTATGCCGGTCCTGACTTTCTCTTTGCCAACCCCATATTTGATGTATATGAACGTGTCTGTATCTGTCCAGGTATGCATGCCTCACTGACTGCACATATGTAAAATACACCTGCCTCTGTGTGTGTACAAGCACAGGTATGGCTGTGTGTGTATGAAACCTAGGTAAAATATGTGTGACTCTCTTCAGGGGTAGCTGCCTGACCCTTTCTACTTACATGTGTATGTGTGTGAGAGCGTGTGCATGTGTGAGAATTGTGCACAGAGTACTTGAGGTCTTCATGTGTGCATGGGTGTACCCCATGAAAGGCAGGGGATACATACCTGAGTGTCTGTGCTATGTCTGGTGTGTTGTTTATGAGATAAGTACCTGTGTATTTGTGGCTGAGACGTTCCCAAAACTCTGTGAAAAGCTCAACCTTGTATGAAAGTGTACGTATGTTTGTGGAGGAGCATGTGTGTACATGTGAGAGGCTCACCTGTGACTGTGACTCATGGTGGGGATGGGTACATGTGAGCACACACCTTGAGGCTGAGCTGTGAGTCWCACCTGAGCCATGTATGTGTAACCCACCCTGAATGGGCAGGCCTTGCTCATACAGGAGACTGTCCTGTTTGTGTGCTTRTGGGACAGCTGCACATGTGTGTGTGGTTGTGTGTAAATCTCCTCTGTGTGTCCCTGTGCATGAGACAGTCACCCCGGAGTACCTGTACCAGTTAGTGCCTGGTGTAACTGCATCACAGGTGTGGATGCAGGTCTTACCTGTATTTGTGCAGCTGCTGCACAGTGACCAGCACATGTGGGACCCATCTGTAGTACGTATGGCATGTGGAGAAGGGGGAGAGGCTTCTGTGTGTGCAAGGGTCACACCAGCATGCGTGCGACAGGGATGAGGCAAAAAGCGTTGGATCTGCCTGCCCCACGTCCTTTTGTGGGATCTGAGGATCTCAGGATCTGAGCCTGGCACCCGACATCCTTTTGTACTCAGTTAAGGAAGAGGGGAAGGAATGGCACAAACCTGGTGCTGAGTTCAGRTAACATTGGGATGAGTGGGTCCTTYGCCCTGCTGACTGATGGGAGTCAAACAYGCCTAGCAGACGTGTCCATATCTGCTCTGAGATCAACTCTTGATTGCCTCCTGGGCACTGCAGGTCTGTAGGGGAGGAGGAAAACGTCTCTTTTCAGAGCATTTGTGAGAGCCTTAAAAGCATGCAAGTGTGTGATCATGAGCATTGTGTGTGTTTTAGAACCTTGTTGGTCCACAGGAGAGGCAGTGTGATTTGACTGCAGAATACACACACATACATGCACATGTGTGGGACTGCACCTGTGTGTGCACATCACTCATTTCACTGTGTGTGACACACAGTCTWTTGTGAATGTGACAAACCCTCCCAATGTGTGCTGCTCATGAACTTGCGCTGCATATTTGCCTCAGTCCAGAATGTGTGTGTCCCAACAGCAGCAGGCACTTCTCTGCGGGCTGCTATCTTCCCCTCAGGGAGGTTTGACACAAAGTGTGCATCTGCATAGGACACAGTGTATTCCTGCACGCTGGTCTGGAGAACATGAGATGTGTCACTGATTYTTCCTGTGGGCATTACAATATGGTCTCCATATTCCCATCACTAAATCCACTGGGTTGTGTTCTGCTATACAAGAGTGCACGTTTCTGTGCTGCACATCGGGCTGTGCAGCTGTTCCTGTGATGTGTGTCCATGACCTACTGCAGYGTGTGACAGGCATTCACCTGCCTGTGGCTGGCTGTGTAAGTGCAATTCACTGAATAGATGGAGCAGGTCCTTTGTTTCAAGGCACTCACATCAACTTTTGTTCCAGGGGAAAGGCTACAGGTGCCCCTATGATCCACTCCACAAGTTCTACACAATTTGTGTTTTGCTGGGAGTTCAGCGCTTTTCACAGACTGCATATGGCTACTACTAACTCTTATATGGCCTGTCCTGTTTCTAAGACTGAGGTTTCTTTTTCTTCCATCGTTTTTCATGGAGGAAGAGTCTCCTATTTTGCCTTTTAATTTGTTCTTGCTTTGCAATCACTAGTTCAGAACAACTGCCACCTTTGTGCCCATAATGTACTATCATGTGTGCCTTTCCTGGCCTGGGGCTGTACAGGTTTTTTTATTTATGTGACATTTTAATGAAATATTTTTCTCTCTCTCCCTTAAATTTTAGGAATTAACAACACTTGTTTTTCTGGAGTGAGCACTCAGGTAGCCTGTCTGTAGCCTTTCTCCTWGACCTTTCGGAAGGTGACTTTCACTGTAGCTGTCCTTCATTTAGACAACACCGATTTGAGCTGAGCTCATCAGGTTTTTTTTTTTTTAGGATTCTTTCAACAATTTTCAGCCTACTTTTCACAGTTCTACTTTTGATTCTCTAAATTGTGGTAAATTGCTTAAAATCACCCCCTTTTGATAAGTATYTAAGCTGATAACTACTGATCTATGATCCATTATGTGGTATTGTCACACCAGCTGTGCCTTGCTTGGCAAAACCCCACAGACCTGATGCCATGGCACACATCCAGGTACATCTATCAGCAGTATTCTCCAACAATGCCATTTATATAAGGCAAGAACTGAAATCAAAACCCTGTATTTTTCTTCAGTATATAAAAACCCAGCTTTGCTATGTTGCAGCTTGGATCCAAATAGTTYAGAACTTCCATGTAAAATAATTAATTTTGATTTAAATTTTGCTTTACTTGTTTTTGATGTTGACAGAATGCTTCAATATTTTCTTTGGTTTATTCTCGATAATTGTTTCCTCTACTTCCAACTTGGTTTTTCTCACTATCTCCCTTTMTGATCTTTTTGCAGGTTCCCGTTCTTTGGAGGAACAGTCTTGATGGGAAAGCCTCTAGCAGGGTTTCAGTTCTAGGGTTGTTTCCTTCCTGAAGCAGTTACAGACTTCAGCTTTATAGCAGGCAAACCTAACTGCAAATGCCTAATTTTTATTTTAAATTTTCTTTCTAAACCAGTTACTATGACTTGACTGTGGCTTGTGTACAAATGTCCAGTCTGTAAGTAGAAGGGTTCTTTTCCTGTCAGAGGACGCCTTTTAGTCACTGGAGTCATGTCTTTTGAACAGTTCCATAAGTAATCCATTATTTCATTGTGTGGATAATTACAAGGTTAGTTTCTTTGAGTTAGGTCTAGTCCTTCTCCTCAACTTGCAGGATGACTTTACTTCCTGAGCAGAAAGCAGCTCTTGCCAAAGGCTTGGTTGGACTTGTGCTTGCTTCTGCATCATGTAATGTCTGTATTGTGAAGGATGTTAAAGGGGTACAAGCTTGCTGTGTGAGGAGCATGATTTCTGAGCATAGACATCTTCTTTATCAGAGTTATGATGAGATATAGAAGCCATCTCAGAAATACATAGATTTGCCACTCCAGGGGTACCAGGCACTGGGATGAACTGGTCAGCTTTCAGTCTCACCCTTTTTTCCTACCATCTGTTCCAGCTCAACTAAAGCATCTCAGCTGTATGCAGGTGTTCCCTGWGCAGTACACAGCAGGTCTGACTGAATGTTCAAAACTATAACTCTGGCTGTAAGATCTGAATTTATTTCCTGAGCCATCACAACTGTCATACTCTGCCATCTGTTCTACCAGAGTATTCCACTTAGCAGTGAGAAACCAATTCTAAATTAGTATCACATGCTCATATTCTGTGTTAGTGTGAGATCTTGAAAGGACCTTTTTCTTCCTGTCTGCCACCAAAGAGTCTAGGATGAAGACCTAAGTCCTGGCCAACTAACTTTTTAACAAATCTTAGTGTCAAGAATTGCAATCTGTGAATGAGAAAGAACCAACTCCATATAACGCTGCACAAAGCCTCCACC